AACGTTCCAGCACAAACCCACCTACTGACAACTCACTAATCCTCTCTAACAGTAACCTAACGTTCCAGCACAAACCCACCTACTGACAACTCACTTTCTTTCCGACCCCATCGTAAGCCAGGGGCATAATGAATAGTGTGCCTGGATGAAATCTCAGATAAAGGACCATAAAGTTAAGTTAGTTTGTAAGTTGTTTTTAGTTTTTTCTCCCCTCCCCCTTCCTCCCTTTCTCTTTTTCAAGGGATGAGGAGATAAGGAGAGTGCTGACAGGGATGTCTACCCTGACAAAAGAGCCGTGTCACTAAAATTACTGATTCTTGCAAAACAGAGATAATAAATGCTAACACTTCATTGCGTGCCAGACATTTCTAGGCGCCCGGGCACGTTATTTCATTGAATAATCACGACAACCTCACCCCACTTTCTGGGTTAAAAACACTGAAGCCAGTTAAGAAAATGAACACACAAGCCACAGATTGGGAGAAAATACCCACAAAACATATAACCTGACAAAGGAACTACTCGGGATATGTGAAGAACGTCTACAACTTAATAACAACAACAGACACAAAGACTGAAACAGACCTTTCACAAAAGAAGGTGTACTAATGCTCAGTACACACGTGAATAAGTGCCCAGGCTTCATTAGCTGCTCACGAGGGAAATGCAAACTAAAACCACAAGGTGACTCCACCACACGTCCACTAGGACTATGGCTGAAGTTAAAGACTGACAACACCAAATGTTGGGTAGAATATGGAGCAACCAGAACTCTCATACATTACTAGAGGGAACGTAAAATAGTATAACTATTCTGTAAAAAGGGAAGGTACTTTCTGATGTAACAAAATATATATCTACCCTCTACGACCAGCAATTCCACTCTTAGTTATTTACCCAAGGGAAATGATGTTCACAGAAATACTTGCAGAAGAATGTTCACAGACACTTTATTCACAGTAATAGTAAAAAACTGGAAATATGCCAGGTGCCCATCAATAGGAGAATGTGATATATTCATATAATGGAATACTACTCAGTAGTAAAAAGAAACAAATCACTGAAAATCTCAAATGCATGATGCTGGGGAAGTAAGCCTTACATAAGTATATACACTGTATGAGTGCATTTATAAGAAGTTCTAAAACAAGCAAAACTAAGCTACAGTAGGAAAAAATAAAAACCAGGGTTGACTGTGGAGGCTGGGAGTGAGGACTGACTGGGAAGGGTCATGAGGAAGCTTTTGGGGGTGATGGTCATAGTCTATATCCTGACAGAAGTTTGGATTATTTTGGTGAGCCCCTTAAAATTGACTGATTCAGTGCAAAATTCAGTAAAAATATGTGTATGCATACAGGTATACATTCTATGTTTGCATCAAATAGCAAAGATTCTATTAATTTTTACTAGAAAACTAAAGAATTGGTGTCGTCAAAATCTGAGGGCCTTATATAGTGATTAATTTGTCTCAGAAATCAGTGAAAATCTCCACACAGAAACTCTTATACAATAGCTCAGCTGCATTCTTAGCTAAATATATTTTGGCTAAAAACAGCTGAAGGGGCTAATTATTTACACCATTTTTTGGTGTGTTTACAGAGGAGAAAGTTCTGAATTTCTAACTCATTTTCCAACTTTGGAATTAAATCTGTTCCCAAGCTGGGTACTGCCCGTACAGAGTAACATATGGGTCACCTGTAATAATTCTGGAATGTCCAAGCATGTACCAGAACAGATCCTGCACTGAAACTTTCTCCATCACCAGAAGTCAAATATGTAACTATTGTTCCCAAACCAGCAACTCAAAATTATACTGTTTTTAAAGCTGTCTTGCGAGATCAGGGTAAACATATAAAAATACATATTTTTTTTTACCACAAACGTTTTATATATAGCATGCTTTTTTAAACAACAGCATTTCATGTAATACCTCCCATGCCCGTGAATACAGCTGTACCTCGCCATTTATAATGGATGCAGAGGTTCCAACATTCAGCAGAACTGATTTAAACAAGCTCTACTGACAAAAACATGCAATGCTTCCAAGTTGTTTTGTTACTATAATGCTCCTACCTGTGAGCATCCTTGTACATGTGAATCCGTGTGACTCCTGTCATTTCTTTAGAGTAAATTAGCTCAAACCCCATGACAATGCCAACACGTGACTATCTTTTACTTACAAAATGGCAGTGCGATATGGCACCACCTAACAGATCTGGAGGGTATGAGCAGATTTAAGGCTCTTCGTACCTGGTTAACTCATGAGTTCTGACAAACCATGGAATCTTCCTTCTTCCTTCCCTCCCCTTTTTGGCTTAGCACTACCCTTACCTCCCCCTCCCTTCCGTCACTTGAGTCCGAGTCACCTGGCATGGATAAGCAGCATAACTGGCCACCAACATGGCAAAGAGCCTTTACTGTGACCACACTTGCATTTTTGGAAAAATGTATCTATTTGGCAACATAGTATAAAAGTATATACAAAATGAAAGCAATTATTAGAATAAAGATATTTTAAGTGATGTTTAAAAATATTTTCTGGACTTCCCAAAAATATGCCATATTATTTAACAATTTTAAAAAATTTAAGAAGAGCGACCATAGAAATGGATGGACGCAGAGGGTGGGGTGGAGAAGCTGGAGGTTCATACAGAGGCCCGCAGGAAGGAGAAGGTAAGATACAGCCATACCATAATGAGCAGCTAACACTGAATTATGACATGCAAATGGTAAATCCTGAGTCCTCGTAAGTCTGGTAGTGTCTATAGATTGAAATTCAAATAATTACTGGGCAATTTTATCCCATTTAATCAACAGACTGATCCTGTGGGACAGCTAGGACACCTGCAGGTTGTAGCAGATGAGAAGACCGAAGCTGGCGAGGTCGGTCCAGTCTCAGTGTCGCTTAAAGCACACGGCACACGTGAGTGCTCACTGCAACTGAACACACTCCGCCGAGAAAAGCCTCAGCCTTACACTGCATTCTCCTCGGGGGCTTAGAAAGACAACTCAACCGAATGATACAGACTGCAACCAGATATGCCCTATTAATAAAAGAAAATCTGGGGTACACTGGTATGTGCAGCACTAACTTTCAGTCATATGGCCAGAAAACAAAGCCTTCCAAAAGGAAAAAAGAAAAACTAGGACAACCTAGTAACGGCGTGAAAGGAACAAAAACGTTGCTGAGTTTTAGGTTAGCCTAGAAAGTACAAAAAGGAGTAACTGCAAGCTATTTAGGCCTGTATTATGCATTCTGGAAATCAATGTCACTAAAGTAGCTGTATATTTCCTCAGTGGCTGGATTTTTCAAAGAAAGTATGCCAATACTGATACAGACTCCATACAAGAGAAAAAATACAATATAAATATGTAATAAAGGAGGAATCAGCAAAATAAGGCACTCACTGGATTTCTAAGGGATGAGATGTAAGCACATACGGGAACGCATTCTCTAACCTAGAAATCTTTTTCCTGATTCACAGGCCTTCAGCAATCTCAGCTGGAATCTGAGCATGCCTTTTCTCTTTTCATTTTGCCAAACTTAACTCCCTCTCCCATTCAACTTGGTATTACTGTAAACCTTTAAAACTTTTCACATGTCCCTACATAACACCTTACATTTCCTATGTGACTTCTACCTTACAGACAAGAAGAAAACAGACCCTGATAGCTACCAACTTCCTTAGCTTCCTGCTCTCACAGATTGGATCTGCTGAGCAGAGTATCTGTCCATATCTCACATAGGGGAAGTAACACAACTGACCTTTCCTCTCCCTCCTTCTGAATCTAATCTACCATTTCTCCTTCCTCGCACTTGAATGCCTAGACTTATGCAATAGGCCTTTTCCTCCTTATTTTCAGGCTCCATTTTAGTTCAATCTCTGTCAAATCCATCCACCTAAATTACGCTTATATCTTTCTACTGTCTTGCCTGAATTGTTGATGAGCCTTCTAACTGACAGCCATCTGGGTGGTCTTATTAAACAACAACACATTTCTGACCAATGCGTTCACTAATTCTTTAAATGGCTCCCAGCGACTTACAGGACACAACCCCCAACCCTTTATTTACACGACACGGTCCCTATCTTTCTCACCAGTTCCTTCTCAAACCATCTGAGCACAGACGTAAATGCACCATGCTTTCTCTCTCTCCTCTGCGTTCTTGCCTAGAAAGCACCCCTCTTCTTCTGTCTACCAAAGAAGACTTGACTGGAATGACATCTGACTCCCACTCTACCTGGCGTTAGCAGACCCTTCCATACACGCGCACTCCGATGGTCCGCGCCTCTGACTGGCACAGGGCTGAACACAAAGTAACTGCTTACAGACGGACTTCCAAGATAACCACTATGTCATTAATTTCTGCGTCCCTGGCCCAGAGTAGACGTTTAATGAAAATTTTTTATTAAAACAAAAATTTACCAAGTACATTTAATGGCAAAACTGTATGTACAAATGTCCCTCTGATATTCACAGGTCGTATTTTTTGGGCATTCTTCACTAATACTAATCAGTAACATTGACTTGGTCACAAAATTGTGTTTGTTGGTTCCTTATGTCACCTATACTCACTGCCTAACTAATACCTTAAGGGCTAAAAAGCAAGCTACTTAGTGCAAAAAGTCAATTTTTGCTTTATTATGCAAATTGTTACAGGTTATATGGGTATGGCTGGCTCTGACGATCAAGTCTACATACGACGAATTTGCTGCTATTGAAGAATGCCACCTGTACTTGAAGTTGAATTACAGTTAATAGCTGTATCCCTTAGGACTTACTGTCTCCACATAAAGTAATTATCTTTTAAGATTTGTCCAAGCATACAAAAGTTTACAAAGTCTCAAAAATCCAACTTAATGAATTTCTAATTCTAAAATCAAAACATGTAATAAATAGCATTCAAAGATACAACAAAGAGTATATTAAAGCACCCTCCTATACCTGTTGATAGAAGAAATTCAGAGTTGGCTTATCTTCAGTAAACTGGTTTAGAAATCCTTTTGGCAAATAACGAATTCTCAATTCATATCTAAAAAATAATTCACAGAACAGAACAATTAGAATTAAGTAATTTCTTTAATTCATCGTCTGCAATTACAGTATCGTGGCTACAGCATTGCCAAACACTCTGAAATATGATTTAAAAAATAAGTTAAAAAGGTTGGTCCAAAGGACTAATGGACCACAACTACCACAGCCTCCAGCAGACTGAGTGGAGATGGTGCTCGGCTACCACCACCAACTGCTCTGACAGGGATGATAATAGAGGGTCCCAGACAGAGCTGGAGAAAAACGTAGAACAAAATTCTAACTCACAAAAAAAAGACCAGACCAGATTTACTGTCTGACAGAGACTGGAGAAACTCTGAGAGTTATCGCCCCCAGATGCCCTTTTAACTCAGTACTGAAGTCACTCCTGAGGTTCAACCTTCAGTCAAAGATCGGACAGGCCCAGAAAACAAACAGTAATACACACAGCTCAACCATGTATATGAGACGAAATGGGCACACCAGCCCAGGGGCACGGACGAGAAGGAAGGAGGGTACAGAAAAGCTGGACGAATAGAAATGGGGAACCCAAGCTCGAGAACAGGAGAGCACTGACACGCCGTAGGGTTGGCAAAGTACGTCACAAAACAATATGTGTATTAACTGTTTAATGAGAAACCGATTTGCTCTGTAAACCTTCATCTAAAGCACAATAAATAAATGAAAATAAGTTAAAACATAATCAACCGACTTTTAAATGCAAACTTTTTATTTTGCAGCACAAAATGGTGCACACATCAAAAGTGTGGGGCTCATGCTCCTGACGTGACAAGAAGCTAGAAGCCCTCCAGCTCCCCATCACTCTCCACCACTGCCTGCCAAGGTGAAACGCCATCCTGACCTCTATCACCTTCCAGGAGCTTCCCTGGTTCCTAACTCAGCATCAGTGAAACTGTACAGCATGTACTTTTGGACAATATGTGTGTGAGGTTCATCCACGACTGGGGGCCGTTGTCTGTTCACTTTCATAGCTGCTCCACGGTATGAACGCACCAGTTATTTACAATCCACATTACTGTTGATGGCCACTGGAGCTGTTTCCTCTTTCTGGTTATCAGGAAGAGCACTGCTCTGCACACTGTGTATTCCCATGAACACAGGTCCGTATTTCTGTTGGGCATGCACACAGGCACAGAATCACTGGATCCTAACGAACATGTACGTTAGCATTAGCAGATATTAGTAAACAGCAGGCCAAAGAGGCTGGGCCTGTTTCCATTCCCACCAGCAGTATGAGGGTGTTCTGACCGCTCTTCGGCCTCACTCTCCTTTGGTATCTGCTTTTCGTTTTAGGCACCCTGGTGAGATACTGTGATACGCATGGTGGCTTTAACTGGCATTTCCGTGAGGATTTATGAAACAGATCACTTTTTCTTAGGTTTATTGACCATGTGGGAAACTGTCTTTTGTGAAGTGCCTATTCATGTTTCTGTCCATTTTTTTTCTATCAGGTTGGCCATCTGTTCTCCCCACTCTCTGTCCCCCATAACTGATTTGTAGGTGCTCTTTATATACTCCAGATACAAGGCCTCTGGCAGATACAGTCAATCTCCTCTCCCGCTCTGGCTTGCCTTTCACTCTCCTTATGGTATCTTTTGAGGAAGAAAAGTTCTTAATTTTTACGCAGTCCTATTTATTCTTTTTAGTAAATTCTTTTAATGTTTTGTTTATAAAATACCTTAGTTTCTTCCTCAAAGGTTATAAAGATATCAATTCTTTTTCCTAAAAGTTTTATTATCTGACCTCTAAAAAATACAGTTGGCTCATAAGGAAAAATATGCAAACAAAAAAAATCAATACAATTCTTCTGGTTCATGCTAAGGGTGAAAAACATGCAAGATACACATAGACAAGTTCTGCTAAGACTTGTGTCCATTTCGTTAAAACAAACAACAGTCAAGCAATCAGGTGCCATTTCAATCTGGCTCTCAGAGAGAGTTTCTAATGCTGCAGATTTTCTAGATTGGCCTGCTGGTAACAATGGACACTTACTGAGCACGTCGTGCGCGACAAGAACCGTGAGGAGCACTGTACAGAGATGACTTCTTTACTCAACAACAACCCCATGAGAAGCAGAAAGAATGTGGACTCTGGATCAAGACTGCCAGGATTAAACCCTGGCTCCAACACTTACCCACCGTCTGCCATCACCGCTCTGTGCCTCAATTTCCTCCTAAGGATGTTGTGAGAAATAAACGAACTAGTAAACCCCAAATACCTAGAACACTGACTCCAGAGAAATTTCTAGCTTTCCTTGGACAATTTAGGACATATGTTGCTCCTTACCCATTTCAAGTACTAGATTTCCTTTCTTTGGCAAGAGATCACTTCATTTTAACAGTTAGAGAAGCACCAATTTAAGAAGGCGCCACTTTACTTCTCCCGAAATTCTGAAAATAAATAATACTCCTCAAGATGATGTATATGGCATGTCATTTCAAGACAACACAGAAGACTGTATCAAAACACAATCTACAAAGTCCTGAAATATCATTATTCATTTTCTTTTGTCATCTCTGAAAAAGGACACCTTTCCTCTACCTAAAGGACTTTTTTTCTCCTACAAAGCCCTTGGGAAAAAACCCACCTCTTTCCAGAGCAAGAAGCTGTTAAACAGCAGTGAACAGAGGCGCACTGAGCGGGGGAATGGGAGCCCCATCTTGATAACAACTGGCGGACTTTCTCTTTCAGCTGCTCAGAAAGGCAGACACTGAAAAAGCCCCACAACGCTCTCTCAAATGCCAGGAGAGCCAGACCTGGCCCTCAGAGGCCAGAAAACACAGCGCCATCTCACCAGAAGCTCTCCCGGCTTGCTCATCACTGATTAATTCAGCACAGAAGCAAAACGGCCCAGACCACTTCATACAGGTGATTCCAGAGAGTTAAAATTTAATTAGCTAAGTGCAAAATCTTAGTTTAATCTCACTACACTGTATATGTGAAAAATATCGAACTGGCAAATGTGGTGCTATCTGTATTTTTACAACAATTAAAAGAAAAAGAAAAAACCATTCGATGGAAATCTCTCAAAACTTCATGATCCGTTTTTGCTGCAGTATAAACTAGGTATGGCATTGTACCTCTAAACTTTTTGGGCTGACTCAAGATCCCAACGAACACTACCCATCTAACTGGCATCTCCCAGGAGCCCAGAAGGGGTAAGGAAGTTCCTGCCCGCTCCTGGATAGACTGGGTAGGTACCAGAGACAGGGAAGCCTGCACATGCAAACTAAGGAGTGATCTTCAAACTCTGCCTCGGAACTTTGTAAGTTTCTGCCCAAGTTCCTCAGGGGCCTTGTGGGACAGGGGATGCTGACCCTCCAAAGGCTCTGAGCCCTCAATTTCCCTCTGACCGAGTTTACTATTGCCTTGTTTATATTTTTCATAGAGTTTTATCCTACACGTGTTCCGAACAATATTCTTTTTAGGTTTTTATTGCTTTTTACTTATCATGCTGTATGTCATCTTCTGGGATTTACTGTTTTTAGTTGAAGTAAAATGTACATAAAATGAACCATTCTGAAGTGTACACGTCAGCAGCTTTCAGCACGGCCATGATGTTGTGCTGGGACTCAATCTTGTCACACAATGTCACACTGCTAAGATCCACCCACACCGCGCATCAGTGTCGCTGCGTGATCTGCAGTTCCTTCACTGTGAATGGTGCAACATCCCACTCTGTGAACATCCACAACTTACTTAGCTGCTGCTGGTTATCTGGGTTGTCCTCCCAGGTTTTTGTCACAAAGAGCACGCTATGAACACCCCTGGGTCTCTCTCTCAGTTCAGGCACGCAAAGCAGAACTGCAGGACTGTAGGAATGTAGAAATTTGACTTTCAAGAGAACGCCGTTTTCCTAGGTGGTCTGATTTCCATTCTCCCCAGCAGTGCAGCCTAGACATGGTGGGTCCCCATCCTCTCCAGCTGCTGACGCTGTCAGTTGACCAATCGAACAAAGTAAGACAGAATCTCACTGTGGTCTAGATCTGCATTTCCCTGATCGCTCATGAAGTCAACAATGTCCTCCTAGGATGACCAGTCAAACAAACTTGTTTTCCCTTTTATGAAAACATCTTCACAGTTCTTCCCCATTTTATTAGGTTGTCTGTGGTTTTCGTATTGACTGCAGATTGTCTTTACATACTCTCAACACCCTCCGTTGTCAGCTACCTGTGGTGTATCTTCTCCAGTTTGCAACTTGTCCTTGTACTTTCTTCAATGTAACTTTTGACAAACAGACAGTCTTAATTTTAACTCGGTGAAATTCTCCATTCTGTTCTTTTATACTTAACGGTTTCGGATCTTAAGAAAATCTGCCTACACCAGGGTCAGACAGATATCCAACTGTATTTTCAACTAAACTGTTTTCAAGTTTTGCTTGTGATATTTCACTACGATTCTCACTCACGCTGATTTCTGAGGGCTGTTCGAGGTAGGATCTAATTTGGTTGTTACTCTCCCCATGTGGAAGGCCCTTCTTCTTTCCCTAGTGACATGTTAGGACACCTCCATAAGGTCATCCTGCATGAGACAGTTAAGAGCTAGTAAGTGCGATGCAAGCTAGCTCACCAAGGTGTTGGAGGAACTGAACACTCAAGGGGACAAGTTTGCGTCTCAGGCTTATCCAACAATATGAAAAGATCCCATAGAATACAGCACACAAGCACAACTTGTATTCAAAAACCTCAGAGGAACAGAAATTGATATCCAGTTATTCTGACCTTTCCTGATACTTTCATTTTAAAAGGAAAACCTTACGTCTCAGAATTAAATCCAGAACTGCAGTCGCCCTCACAAATCCCCCTACGGGCTAAGAAAGGTATCTGCCAGTGCGAGAAAACACTGATGAGATGTGCTGCTTCTCGTGCTGTAGTCACACTCTGACAGGGCTAGAGAGGAAACAGCTGAGCGCACAGATTCCGTTTCCAGTCGGCCACCCAGTTAGACTGCACAAGCTCTCGGGAAAGTTAGTAAGCCTCT